GTATACTGTATAACACAGAAATTGTATCCAACCTTCCTATATGCATGCATATCTAATTAGTCTTGTCTTATTCTATAGATGTAATTTTAACTGTTCTGTAACTTCGAACCTTAAAGTTTGTTTCTAAAGAAAGATTCTATAACTCTCCCTCTTGCTAGGTCATAAAACTTTAGGACTCCCAAAAGGAATTCCAAGGGAAATCACAGCTCCCACTTGAATTCTGATGAAGAAAGGGGAATAGCCTCTGCAATCTTATATTGTCTATAAGTATAACCACTTAAGAAATGCATAAACATGAGTTTGATATTTCCTAGGTCACGGTAGCCGGTATTATGGCTTTATAATCATGTGAAGGAACATTAAATGCTTATAAAATGCATATCTTATGTAACTCTGTATTCCGATAATCTTCATGTGACGTGTCTGATATGTCTGTAATTCGCTCAATCTAACGGAGCCGAATTCCGATAGCATGATGAAGTAAGGTGCATTATTTTACACATTTCATATTTCAGGAGCCAAACGGCTCAAATGCAATTTCCTCATGAAGTGGGCATCCCCCACATGACAAAGAGAACTGTGTCCGCTTCAGATCCGCGGACGGTCATGTGTGATTCGCGCAAACAGAGGCGTGAACCTAAGTGTCCTTAAAGAGACGCGCCGAGCTTCCCTAAGCGGCTGCTAAAACCCTTCTGAAAGCTTCCTGAAAACCCTCTGCCAAAACTCCCTGGCTCTTCCTGCTCTTTGTGGCTTCATCATGTGGCTCCTCGTGCGTCTGGACATCGCCTTAGTGTGATGATCCATCGTTTCTCTTTTGTTTTCTTCAAGTTTATTTTATCTTTTTCGAAGTCTCCTCTGTTCATGTCTTCTCGCGAAGAAAATGAACACAGCCAGACTGGCAAGCTTCACCTACAAGGACATTCAAACACGCCGCGCTCGCTGGACGAACTCGAACGCTCGGCATCCACATGACAGAGATACACCCACACGCCTTTTTCAGATCAGCCCCACCAAAAGAGCTTTACCTGTGCAAGTATCCGTTTTACTATGCTTATTTAAGATCTGTTGAGTCTTGTTCTAATTCAAAAGGTTCTGTGTCTGTGATGAATTGTGCCAAGAAGATCTCTCATCTTCTCTCTCTCTCTCTCTCTCTCTCTCTCACTCCCAATCTTGCGCTCTCGCAATCTCTCTCTCTCACTCCTGTTTGTTGTTCGTCTGTCTCATTTGTTTTACTGTTTACTGTACATACATGTATCCCGTGTTTAAATGTAGAATTCTGTATCCGTAGTTTCATTTTATTAAAACCATTATATTCTTGATTGTTTTGAATGCTCATATTTTTACAAGTCAATGAAATGCGATCCTAGCTACAAAGCTTTACAAGTTGTTACTATATCAGTAACGTAAATTTTATAAACACGAGAAAATTAATGTTCACGGCCGGAACATTGAGATTTCTTGGAGTTTATAAAAAGGGATAACGTTGTTGAATTAATTGATGGGTTAATCTTACAGCCGTTTGCTGGACAAACCGATTGTTTGGTAGCCAATTGATTCCCTTAAAGTTATCCCATATAATCGATCTGTAATGAGACCATTGATATATGAATGAGGAATTATAATTCGTTATGATTGATCATTCATATATACAATCGATCTATTTTCAATTTCGATAATTTAACTGTAATATGCAATATATTAATCATATTCATGATTAATTATTAAAATTCCCTATGCATAATTTAAGCTAATTAAGGCACATCTCAATGTCGCTACAGTGTTGAATAATTGAAAGACAATGACAGTCTTGTGGATGGATGAACGAATGGATGACTGAGCACACACCTCGATGAGGAACAGGTAAGTCTGAACAGGAGATGTTGGCGACAACAAGGAACTGGAAGAAATGCTGGCGAGAGGTAACATACACTTCGGGAACTTGGAGACAACAGGTAAGCAAGTCCTTTGCTCAGACGAGACCTGGTGATCAGTGCTCTGATAATTGTGACCTCTGTGATTGGCTGATGGTGGAGCCTGACGGATTTGTGACAATACTATGCTGTATATAAAAAGAATATATGTGATAATATCTTTATTAATCAGACATTTTAATTTTTGGTAACAATTCCTTTTGAATTTTAAATCTTAAATCTTTTCACATTTGCCTGTGGAATTCTATATTATTTCTGTACTTTTATTAATCTTGTTCTCTTGTGTTCTCTTTAATCCACATCAAGAGAGATTTAGACTATTTAGAGAGAGATTTAGATTATAACAAGTTTATTTAAATGTTTCTTAAATGTCAGACACGTACAGTAAATACTCACAACACAATAAAAAGCAACACAAACATCATGATGCTTAATTCTCAATGATCCGCACATATTTGGCTAAATATTTTGATTTTGATATACATCAGTACTTTTATTTGAGAAATTCAAAAGATGCATTTTTTTACAATTAATAATTTACGACTGGTTGTAAAGGTTATGTTTAGATCTTATAAATTAATTCTGTCAAACACAACACACAGCTCAAAACAAGCATGTAATTACCTAGCATGGTAAAAAAATAAAGATACAACTGAGCTTTAAAACTGTGCAAAACTATGGAGGCCCTAATGGCACATCATGTTGAAAAAAATATGAAAACTTGGATCATGTGTGCCTTGATAACCAATCACATTACAACCTTGACATCATTGAATTTCATTCAGAGATGTTTGACAGTCAATCACTGTTTGCGGATACCATAGAAATGAATGTAAACTGCCGTAAACTGAATCATACCTGGCAAAGAGCTCATTCAAACCCATTTCCAATCCGCCGAAATCGAGGCACCAATCAGAAACGTTGGGGCGGGCTTTACACGATGATGACAGCGCTGGGATTTTGAAGCAGATTTTGTAGCCTACATTACAAAGATGGATGCCGCCGTCGAACATCACTCGTTCGAATCAGCTATCGCGTCTGTTTTAAGCGATTTGAACTTTTCCTTTTTGTTAAAAACCGAGCAAAGAACAACACTCGGAGATGTTTCTCCGCCGCTCTGCATACGTCATCTCCTTCATCGCTCTGATTGGTTTTAGGTCTATCCGCGACGTCCGTTGGTGACGCCCCTCTGGAAATGATTTGTCTATGACGCTTTGCCAGACCATAACTGAGAATGGTCTGGTTTTAACCAGGCTACCATTTCCCCCCAAAAACTATTTATTCAGCGTAGTGAAGCCTCTCCTCCATTGACATCCATAAAAAAAATAAAAAAAAGGCCTCTGGTTTTCATCCCTGTGTACCGCAGCGTCAGCAGGCATTACGCTTTTTTTGCTAACCTTTATAATGAATATAAAGGATTGCCTTTAAGTGGCTTTTGGTACATGGTGATGTGAGGAAAAAATATGTTTCAATGCTTTTGTGTTCTCTCACAGAAGTCTCTCGGGTTAATGCAAACACTTTACTAGCAAATGCAAAGGGGAACGCAACATGTTTGCGATATCAATAAACCAGATCATTTTTGATCATGAAGTCAGTACATCATATAATTTCTTGAAGGGACACTCCACCCATTTGCATTAAGCTTTCCATTGTTAGAAACCCAGTCATACTATTATTGAATGGTCGTGCAACACTCTCTCATTTTCCCCTGAGACGAGAGAAATCCGCTTTTTCCGAATTTACCTTTTTCACTTCCTCCTACAATGACGCAAAAATCGTCATTTTAGGGGGGGGGGGGGGGATTTCTGTAAAGACTACAGCACTAGTTACCACCCTTTCAAACCCGCCCATAGGGGGTTGGACCTAATGCGCTAACAGAGCTATCACAGATCAGTGGGTGGGACTTCACTTGTAGATACTGAAATCAATATCAGCCATCTTGTTTATAAGCTAAGCTAACAAGCGCTGTGGAGATAGGAAGTTATGACAATGAGGGAAGAAACTAAACATGATATGGAAGAAACTAAACATGATATGGAAGTAGAGGATTTTGAAATTCTGCTGCTCGAATCCGCTGTTCGTGGCTATTTTTACGAGCCGCAATATAGTGAAGAGCAGCTGAGCCTGATGGAGGAACAGGAGGCGGCTGCCTGTCGCGGACGAGGAGCCTGGACTGGCTCGAGCTGGGCGGACTGCTGGTGCCTGTGCTCTCGCTGTGCGCTACGGACACAGATAGAGTCCGTCTGCTGCAGAGAATTTCAACGATGGAAATTTCTCCTGGACGAAATCTCTGAATCAGACGAGCACATGGACGTTTGTGTTGTGATGTGAACCATCCTAGTGTCGCACCGCATATGTTCTGACTGAACATCCAGGTATCAAACGAGGAGTAATTCGCTAATGAGTTTGCCAATGTAACAGGGTTCGTTGTTGTGGGAAGAAGGAGGCGGGAACCGGCGAACATTTAAACATTTTAATAGTAAAATAAACAAATACAAAACAAAAGTATAAGCCAGCTGGCCACACACAACAGAAACAAAACATAAAATCAAGCCTGTTCCTTTTGTGCTTCCGCTCCTCCGTGAGAGATATGAGACCGCTGCGTCTCACAGGTGTCATTCATTATCACTCGCGCCGTCCTCTCACGTCCCTCGTCCTGCTCGCCACAGCCAACTAACTAGACATTTTGTGTGAAATGAATTTCAAACTCTTTTGGCAGCTAGCCTTGTAGACGGAAGAGTGATTTCTCTGTTTGCGCTGTTCTGGATTAGTGGGAGTGGCTTGCGGAGCTGTGCAATGTGGTGCATTGTGGGAGTTGTTGTCTTACATACAAATGCGCCCTAAAGTTATTTTCTGTCTTTTCTCGGTCAAGAGGGCACCAAATTCAACATTTCTTTTACATTTCGACTACATATATGACCCACTTTCAATAAAGATTAATGTTGAAATGGGTGAAGTGACCCTTTAATGGCTCAAAGACACTATTACTTGCTAATTTAGAACTACAAACTGGGATATTACAGTCAAAATTACACTTTTTTGGGGGGTGGGGTGGACTAGAAATATGGAGCATGTGTCTTTGAGTGTTTGTGTCTCACAGTGGCAGTAGCTGACAGAGAGGTTTGATGACAATTCCCAGCACCACTCCTCTGCCCAATCCTGAGGCCTTATCCAGCACCTTCAGTCTGAGGGCCAGATCTCCCAGAATGCCCTGCTGCTCCTCTGGTTCCTGAAAGAAGAAGTCTTCATTGAACACAGGGTTGCGGCAGTTCCTGATGATGGCGCTGTGTTGCCTCTGCAGCTTGCCTGGGGTGAGGCTTAGGGTCATGCTGCAGGTCAGAGGTCGAGGGTCACCAGGATCTCTCAAGCCTTCCACCGAGACTACGCGGATGCGAATTGTCATAGAGCACCTGGCTGCACTGGACCTGAAGGCAGAAATGCGCACTCGGCCTCTCTGAGGAAGAGGAAGCACGTGTTCCTGGTGGAAGCGTTCCTGGCAGTGCAGCATGTCCAGTGGGAACTGGATGGGCGGGGCTAGTTTGGTGCAACGGGACGTTTGAATAACTTTAGCATGGTGATGTACTTTCGACATGGACTTTTTGTCAGGAGTGGGGTGATCTTTATTTTTCTCATTTTTAGAGGCTTGCATATCTTGCTGAACTGGATCTTCAGACAATGACTGTTCACTGGTGAAATCCTCTCTTCTGATTGGTGGAGGAGTGGAATAAGGGGAGGAGTCAGCAGAGGGCGTGTCACTCTCAGTGCTGGCTGCTTTCAGCACTGCTCTACAGGAAGATTTGGGTGTTTTGATGGTCATTCGTTCTAGTGTGTAACTGGTAAGTGTCGAATGGAACAAAGACTCTTTGCGCCGCGTGTTCGGACTCTCGAATAAACCGTACTCGTAGCATTTCAGTGAATATGGAATGGGTTTGAGTTTGTTCAAAGCTGCTGTAGATTTTTTTAGACTCGCTCTTAGTGGCTGGGCAGTAGCAGGTCTTGACAATGATGTTTTTGCTGAGCTGGGAACTTTTTGTTCTTCGTTCAGACATTGCACAATTTTTTCTGCGTCTGCCATGAGGCAGTGCTTGGTCAGCTTGGGCGGCAGAAAAAAGTCAGGGATTTTATCAGGCGTGAGGACGTTGCAGTGCAGTTTATTGAGGATGCTGGTCTTGGCTGAAATCTCCTCTTTATGTTTGCTGATGAGATGATTAATCTGCATCGGAAGACTTTCTGCTCCCGCCTGTACTTTCTGAAGGATCCACATTGTGATTGATAATACTAGAAAAAAAAACAGTTTTAAAAAGTTAATACACGTTTAATACTATTTAACGTGTATAACGCACTATACACTACACACCTATAGTTTATTTGGTAACACTTTGGAATACAGTTCTGTCATTAATGAATAATTACACAGGAAGAAATGAGTAACGCACTATTAACATTCTAGTAACTACTATTAACTAACAAGAACAACAATATTGTCATGACATTTTACACCAACATGAACATTTCTATAATCCTCATTTGAACAAATATATTTTATCTTGTGCAAATTATTATAACCTGCTTAACTTATAAAATTGAGTTAAGTTTTGCATTTTCCTTTATAAGTCACACACTAAAACAAATCTAAGAAACATTTATAACAGTAATAGTAATGTATTTATATTGAGAAAGACTGGATCATTATATTAAATTGAATACAAGAAGTATCGTTACAGTTGCCCCCATTAAAGGAGTTGAAGGCAATTAAATTTAAAAAATAGTTTTTAAATTAGGCAATTAACGAAAGCCTAAAATTATTGAAAAGTAGTGATATTATAGTTTTAATACATGGTATTTCTACTGAATATTTTTATGGTACCAATTCTTTTTAACCACTCATTAATTCTTTTGATTTTTCTTGATTTATCAGTTGATAAATACAGTATTTATATTACCGTATTTACAGTATTTTAGTAAAAATGTATTATTCAAATAATGAATGCTTAATTTGCTTTAAAATTAAGCATACATTACTTGAATGATAATTTTTTTTACGAAAATACTGTATCAACTCATAAGTCAAGAACAATCTTCAACTGGACACTTAAATAAAATAATGGTCATCACTTATTTTAAAAAATCAAAACACAATTCTTATTTCATTTTATAATCATAATTTACTGTTGCAGTTCTCCTAACCTCACAGTCACAAAGTGACAGCTGTTGTCTGTTGTTCATACATTTGTTATAAACTTTTAACCATTAACTCAGCAATAAAATGCATAAAGTAGTAAAAATGGAAACCTATTACAGTACTTATTAATCTACACTACCATTCAAAAGTTTTTTTAATTCATATGTTTAATTTTTTACATTTTTAAAATGAATAATAAATATTTTCAGCAAGGATTCATTAAATTGATCAAAACTGTGAGTAAAGGCATTTATGTTACAAAAGATTTCTATTTCTAAATAAATAAATGCAGTTTCTAAACTTTCTATTCATCAAACACTACACAAAAATATTAAAACAACTGTTTTCATTGATAATAAGAAATGTTTCATGTCAAATCATCATATTAGAATAATTTCTGAAGGATCATGTGACACTGAGGACTGGAGTAATGCTGCTGAAAATGCATCTTTATATATTTATATATATTTAAATAGAAAACCATTATTATAAACTATGATGATATTTCAAATAAATGCAGACTTGGTGACATAAGAGACTTTTTTTCAAAAATAAGAGACTTTTTTATTAATAAAAAATACAAATATTAATTCATGTTTGTTCATAATACATTTGTGTTAATTTATACAACGTGTAGAAATTCATATCCACCTTTATTAATAAAAGCTGTGAAAGTACTGTTGATCTCTAATGCATTAATAATAATTAATGTTAACAAATTATAGTGAACTGTTACCAAACTGTATCGTGATGATTTTTTGCCCTTACCTGTTTGGATGATCTGTGGTGGAGTTGCTCATCTGTGATTAACTGAATGTGTGAGTTTTAGTGTTCGGTTTGGTCTGTTCATCATCTCTTTCAATACACAGTGGCCAATCACAGCACATTTACTGTCATATAAGCCACCTCTCTCACTCCTCTGTGTGTAGCCTAATAAGAATGGTTTGCTTTTAATCTAAAATCCCCACAACTGGTTTCAGACAAGCTCTCACACCCACTAACCTACCCCAAAACAGTTATATCACAGAGATCCACACTGTTCTCAGATCAGATGTGGATAATGATTCCCCCCCTAACATTTAAAGGTCAACAGTGGCATCATTTGTGTCACTTCAAAGATTAACCTTTCCTTAGAAAACAGTCTGGTCAGGCTCTGTTCTCCAGTTTAGCCTTCATGTAGAGGTCAGAAGTCCCGCTTCCCAGCTGACCCGTCTAGTTTCCTGATTAAAGGTTGACGTCAGGATTTGGGTGGGTGGAATTATCCACAAAATTTGCTTTCTTGTATGCCAGTCTGTCTCTAATGAAAATTTTAATACGATTTTTTTTTTTTTACAACCAATCAAAGTTTTGAATGAAATTAATACTTTTTTCAGCAAGGACACATCATACAGTTTCCACAAATATATTAAGCAGCAAACTGTTTTCAACATTGATAATAACAAGAAATATTTCTTGAGATCCAAACCAGCATTTTAAAATGATTTCTGAAGGATCATGTGACACTTAAGACTGGAATAATTGCAGTTAAAAATTCAACTTTGCCATCAGTAATACATATTTTAAAATATATTAAAATATTAAAAAGTTATTTGTATTATATTTGTAATAAATATAATAAATATTTCGCAATATTACTGTTTTTACTGTAATTTTGATCAAATAAATGCAGCATTGATGAGCATAAGAGACTTCTTTCAAAAACATTTAAAAAATGGACAGTAGTGTTTATTATTTATGCAATACTTTTGTGCAGAAATACAAAGTTCTGTCATGAAACAGATGGCGCAGGCTTGAGAGGTCCTTAACTCAATCCGCTGATTGGTTCCTGCTGTATCAGTAGCCAATGAACTCGCTGCTCAACCTTCAAGTACTTGGTCAGCATTTGCTGTAGCAGTTGCATCGCACTTTCAGAAACCCTCCACCTTCCCCAGCTCCACCTGTATAGATCTGCTACAGGTAATTCATGTAGTACAGCTGCAGCATGTCTTGCTCACAGCAGTGTGTCATGCCAGCATATCACCCTGCAGCCCAAGACTGGTTGCCCACTGAAGCTAAGCAGGGCTGAGCCTGGTTAGTACCTGGATGGGAGACCTCCTGAGAAAACCAGGTTGCTGCTGGAAGAGTGAGGCCAGTAGGGCGCTCACCCTGTGGTCTGTGTGGGTCCTAACGCCCCCAGTATAGTGACGGGGACACTATACTGTCAAAGAGCACCGTCCTTCGGATGAGACGTTAAACCGAGGCCCTGACTCTCTGTGGTCATTAAAAATCCCATGGCACTTCTCGTAAAGTAACCCCGGCATCCTCGCCACATTCCACCCATTGGCCCTTGCCAATCATGGCCTCCTAATAATCCCCATCCACTGAATTGGCTCTATCCCTCTCTCTCCTCTCCACCTATAGCTGGTGTGTTGTGAGCGCACTGGCGTCGTTGTACTGTGGCTGCCGTCGCATCATCCAAGTGGATGCTGCACACTGGTGCTGGTTGAGGAGAGACCCCCTGATATGATTGTAAAGCGCTTATATGATATGAAAGCGCTATATTGCTGATGTAAAAAGGTGTAAACTGAATTTGATCTTTTAATATCACTGGACATTAAGGCACTTTAAGGGTGCACCAATATGGATTAAGCACCTCCTTAGCCTGGCATTGGTTCCCCCTCCGCCTATTGATCAGCCCTTTAAAGTCCCTGTGTGTGAGTGAGTGGAGGCGGTGCTAATTTGCATATTCATAGAACCATGTATACTACATGAGGTAAGGGTGTAGTTTTTTTTCAAGAACAAAACTTTTAAATATGTCATTTTCGTGTGCAAAGGTGAGTTTTAAGGGATAAAATGATTGACTGCAGGGGGACTTTTATTCTAACAGCCTTTCTACGTAAATTCCGTAAAATTAGGGCAAAACGATACGTTTTAGAACATTCCGCTGTTTTTAGTGATTGAAATACTGCAGCCGCAGCAGTTGCTGCATGGATCAAAAGTGCCCAAAACTTGCATTTTGTTCACATATTTTTGTTTTTAAGATGGAAATTGACATGCTTGTGCTGCAAGTTCTATGGCTATTTTGCCCTCCAGGACTCCACGACAGTCATGTGACTGTAAACTATGAATAACAGCAGCAGCAGTGTAGCAGATCTATTCCAAAAATACATTAACATTGCCATATCCATTACACCAAACACGAGAGTTGTCATGAGTTGCCAATGCCAAGAGTTGTCACGACAGAAATGATGTTTATTGTTAGTGTTTTTCACTGGTTCATATTATATCACATTGGTTTACGTGCCTCACACATATGTGTTTAGATAATCACATGCATTAGGCCTGTAGTTCATTTGGAGGTTGTTTTATTTCTATCATTGTGAAACTGGATGTGATTTTTCACAATAAACTGACATCAAGTCAAAACACATACACATATCAATACAGTTTCACTCAACACACATTTGGTTTATTTGATTATTTTTTAAAAACATTTTCAGTGAATCGTGGAGTATTACCAAAATGTATTATATTTAGCTAATATTATGATTATTAGGACATAATCATGTCTTTGGGGCAATTATAATGGCAATTGTACTACTGCAATTGGCATCGAATACAGTCCTGCAGCACCACCAGGTGGATTTTAATATTCTTATGTTTTTTGAAAACTGAACTGTTTTCAAATAAATAATAAGACTATCTCTGGTAGGGGATGACGCTTGGAATTTGCCTGTAATTGGTAAGAAAACAAATAATAAATAATAATGAATCCATATTCAATGTCCAGTTTACATTAAATATTGGAGTTTCTCGGTGTCATTGTTCAGATGTGAATATCCAACATGTAGTGGAAGCAGCACAGAGAACATAAAACCTATTACTTGTCTTTAACCAGTGCTTCTCATGATTAACCAAACACATTTGTTTGTGATTACTAGCTACATTTAAAAATATATTTATATAATGTCAATTTAAAAATATTTTAAAATAAAAAATATATATTTTTAACGACTTCTAGGGCGATTCTGAGCATCGATGCCATATATATTATATATATAGTCTACATAGTTAGATACCTCATAAGAGGTTGTTTTATCCGCCATATCAGGCATAGCCTATATGCATATCAGATGACTTTGCTAAATTAACAAGATGAAGACAACACAACACAGCTTGTCAGGTAACACAACATTAAAAATTACCATAGTAAAAGAAAAAAACACAAAAAGTACCATAGTAAAAACCTGTAATATTGAGTCAATACATATAAAAACACAAAATAACACATTCTCTTCAGTGAAAGGTTATCCCATTTCTTTAGGGATTTAAATCTCGGCGGTTTCACAACCAGCTCTGCGCAATGTTGTGGCACCTGTGAGTGACGACACGCTGACCGTTCCAACATGGCGGGCTCGCCGACGTGTCTTGAGGTATTGAGCGGTCGAATGTTGAAATCTGCACATACGTTTCTATGCTCTAATCGCCCCCTGGTGGAAAGTATCCGTCTGCCTCATGTAAATCCGTTACTCCTTACTGGTGTGGTCACGGACACGCGTCAGTTTGTACGTCACTCACGACATGCGGATCTTCTCTGTTTTGCATCCTTTCCGTGACAGTCTGTTCTGCCGGTGTCGGGTGAGCACGATAAATACGTGCCTTCAGCTTGAGAACGAAGCAGCTCCATAAAGCGCCGAGTAAGTGTTTCTATAGATACCAGCACACGTGATGCTAGGATGAGCTCGTCTGTGTAAAATGAGGCATGTCTGTGTAAAATGATAGGCAAAAAAATTCAGACCATCCGCCTCTGTTCATCAACCAACTAGCTGAAAGCTTAAGCTGGCAGAGATTACCTGCTTATAAAGTCATCTAGTCAAGTGGATCAAGTATTTCTATTTTTTAACAGCGACACAGCATATTACAACATGAGGCGTAAGTACTTGTCTTGAGTAATTGTACTAGGCTACTTCTGCTAGTCGAGTACTGTTGAAACTGATTAGTCTGTACTCTACGTTTCTAAGAATTGTTTTTAACTAATCAAAATTATATTTAAGGTTTATAATATGGATAGTTTCATATTTAGCTGATAAGTCAAATTAATTTCCTCCATTCATTTTACTTGTTTTTTTTAAACACAGCCAGTGAAATTAATTTTTTGAAATTAATTGTAAAAAATGAAGGAATTTACTTTAACCTAAAGCAGTCCATTTTAACATGTAATTAAATCAAATTAACTGCATGAATTTTCTAAAATAAAAATAAAAAATAAGTCAAGACTTAAAAAAGTGATTAATCAGGTTACTTTGCAAAGTTTAGTAGACTGCTTCAAATTTACTTGATACAATGAAAATCTTCATTGTATCAGTTTTCTTCAGTTAGTTTCAGACAGTGTTAGTATTATTTAAATACTAGTATAGTATTTATTTTATTTAATAGTGTAATATTTTCATTTATCTTTTCTATTTTCGTTTAAGTTTAATTTTATGTGCTTTGGTCGTTTTTAATATATATATTTTGAAATATTTCTATATAGCTTAAATAAAGTTTATTTCCATTTTGTTAAGTCATTAAAGTTATTTATTTCAGTCAGTTGCCAAGGCAGCATTTCTAAGTTTTGTTCAAGTTTTAAGCAACGTTTAAATATTTTCAGTTTTTCATCTAATATTTCTTTCATCTATATATTTAATTTACTTTTTTTTTGTTGCTTTATTTCGACCAAAAATAAATAAATTGGTCTAGGGTACATTAATGTTTACACAACGACGATGTAATAAAAACGTACAAGTTTTTCCTTCGCGGTTTTTGCGTACAGATGTCAACTTGTCAAAATGAACCCGATTCACATGGATCTCCGAAAACAACTGAAAACGCTGTATGTCACTTTGTAAAGAAACACACTACGCGCCTATAGACTGAACACGCATACGTATGACGTCACCGTTCACAAATTCACGTTTTTGTAGTTTACACGGAGACAATAATAACAGTATCGTTTCAAAAACTTGCACTTTGAATCTCGTTTTCAAAAGTTTGCGTTTTCAGGCCCCCAAAACACTGTTGAAAAATGAACAGCCAAAACGGTGTCGTGCAAAGGGCCCTTAGTTAACAATAACAATAACTAAGGGGCCACTGGTTTTAGATTACTTGTATATTTTTGGCTGGATACTTTCACCTATTAGAGTAAAATTTTGACATTAGTTGCATTAGTCTAATTCTCTTCTCTTCTCTTCTCTTCTCTTCTCTTCTCTTCTCTTCTCTTCTCTTCTCTTCTCTGTTATGTAAGTGTGTCTCCCACCACTGTACTCGTGGGAGCTCTATGAGCTCAAATATCTCCTTGTTTGAGATCCCAGTGTAGCTTTTACTGAATGCAGGCCACTTTTGTTTGGCTTTGTGATCAACCAGTTGCGTTTACTTTGGTGGGTGCGTCACTATCTGTTTGATTTGAATAAGGTTGTACTTGAGTGAACTGTAATCATTTATCTGTATGTGTTTTCTTTCACATTCTCCAGGTTTCTTCATTTCAGAGCTCTGAGGGAAGAGCTGTCATGTTCTGTGAGTCTACAGGGATCTGAAGTTGCAAAGTTGCCCATGTATAATTCATTAAAAGCGAAGTAAATCGCCTCTGGACAGTGCCACACACCGAAAGATTTGTTTGCTTCATCCAGTTGTACACTAATGGATATGAAAGACTTTATAATGTCACCAGTCGTCTTTATGGACTCATTCCACATCATGCTCTGGAGACTTTGACCCTAAAAGTGCTTGAGAAAGTTGGCTTTTGGGGAGTCCACTTCCCTTTCCCAATTTATTTATTTTCTTCCTGAAAGAAACTTAAAAAAAATGGGCCCTTTTATTTCTCCTTTTAGTAATCTGCTATGCATGCTGTTGGGCATTTCTTTCACTTTGTGGGTCACACTGCTTTTGGTCTTCATCATTGTTCCTGCCATTTTTGGTCTGTCTTTTGGCATCCGTGGACTCTACATGAAGACACTGCTCAAGGTGTTTAAGGTGAGTTGGAAGGTCATCTTGTTCCATTTCAGGATGGTTAAAGGGATAGTTCACCCAAAAATGACAATTCCTTCATTAATTACATTGACAGCTCCGCAACTACCACTTTGACGCTTCAAAAAGTTCATAAAGAGATTTTAAAACTAATCCATATAAATTTAGCCCACATTTTCTGAAGAGACTCGATTGCTTTATATGATGAACAGATTTCATTTAGCTTTCTATTCACATTTAAACATTGATCAGCAAACATAAACAGAAGCTCAACCGAACATGCTTTACGCACAAGAACAAACCTCATTGGTTCTTACAGAAGCTCAAACGTGATGCGTAACACGAGAACAAACCTCATTGGTTCTTACAGAAGCTCAAACGTGATGCGTAACACGAGAATTAACCTCATTGGTTCTCGCACGTCAAGCGAACATGCTTGAGCTTATGTTTAACACAACTGATTTGTGAGTTGATTAATGTTTATATGTGAATAAAAGTCTAAATTCAATCTGTTTATCATAAAAAGCGATCAAGTCTCTTTAGAAAATGTGGACTAAACCACTTATTTCATATGGATCAGCTCTACGATCTCTTTATGAACTTTTTGAAGTGTCAAAGTGGTAGTTGCGTAGCTGTCAATAGAGGAACATAAAGCGATCAGATTTAATCAAAAAGATCTTCATTTGTGTTCCGAAGATGTGGGTAATAGGTTTGGAATGACATGAGGGTGAGTAAATAATGACAGAAATTTCATTGTTGGGTGAATTATCCCTTTAAGAATATTGTTCTTTAGACTGATTTATTTGTGGGTTTTTTTGTTTTGCATTTGTTAACCGGATACTATAGAGTTGACAGTAAAGTTGGGGTGAGAGATCTTTTGTGATATTTGCTAAAGATTACATATAAAACCGTTATTAAATTATGCAAGTTTTTAAATATCAACTTTAGTCTGAAAACCGATATGATATTACACCTCGATATGATATATAGCCTACACTGCGAAACTATCCTGCTTATGCGGCTACTTGCCACATAAGTAAATAATTGAACACAAAGTATTAATTTGACACATTCTATTACCTCAAGATGACTCTCAGTACCCGCTTGAGCGCTCTGTTATCAGTTGTAGCGGTTTTTGTCATGCAAAAACAGACCACAAAATTGAGTATTGCTGAGAACTGTGTGAAAATATAAATAAATGGTTCTATGCAAAGCATGGACAAGTTTGTTATAGGGATAGTTCACTTTGAAATTAATTTTTGGTATGTTTTAGCTTACCTCAAGGGCATCCAAGATGTAGGTGTCTTTGTTTCCGCAGTAGTTTCAATTTTGATATTTTTAGATCAAACCGTTCTTGTCTGTCAGTCATATAATGCAGGTCTACTGCTCAAAGAGCATGCACAGAGAAGTCCAAATTAAACATGATTTAATGACTCGTAAATGTAAGTACAGATTGATGGCCTAAGACATGAAACGAGCGTTTTGTGTGAGAAAACGAACAGTATTTATATCGTTTTTACCTCTTGTAAACACAGCCACGTCCAAGTGATCTGACGGCGCCGGCGGTTCGGTCTTTTCCGGAAAGCGCCGGAAGTGATCTCTCGCGCGTGTACGTCACTCATTGTTTACACAGAACAGAGATTGTAGGTAAGACGACTAATTAAAATGGTACTAATTTGCGCCTATCCGGGATGTTTAAACCGTCGTAAAAAAAAAAAAAAATTGAATGAGTGACGTACACGCGCGAGAGATCACTTCCGGCGCTTTCCGGAAAAGACCGAAGCGCCGGCGTCGTCAGATCACTTGGACGTGGCTGTGTTTACAAGAGGTAAAAATGATATAAATACTGTTCGTTTTCTCACACAAACCGCTCGTTTCATGTCGTAGGCCATCAATGTGTACTTAAATTTACGAGTCATTAAATCATGTTTAATTTGGACTCCTCTGTGCATGCTCTTTGAGGAAGTGACCGTAGACCTGCATTATATGACTGGCAGACAAGAACGGTTTGACCTAAACATATCAAAATTGAAACTACTGCGGAAACAAAGACACCTACATCTTGGATGCCCTTGAGGTAAGCTAAAACATACCAAAAATTAATTTCAAAGTGAACTATCCCTTTAAAAAGGACTGCCAGTGCCAGGTAAACGTAAGCAGACGATGAATCTACTCCACAAATTATGTTTAATTAACAAGGTTCGGGAGGAGCAGGTGCAGATAATTAACTCCAATCAGCACAAGTGGAGATCAATCAGTAATCAACTCAGGACAAGATAAATAACAGCAGAACCCTCCTTTGTTCCTTGACAGTTTATCAGCATCCCACCTCCACCCCATCTCCTCACTTTTAGTTCCATCTCTAGTTCCATCTACTCTTACCAACGGGGGAGTACTCTGGGTTCGGGCAGAAATTCCGAGCTTGGAGCCCTCCACCCGGACAGCACGCCAAGTACGCATAACCTTTACCATATTAATTATATGTAGATGTGAACTCGTGAACTACCAAAATAACTTGTCTACACCCGACTCGAGTGGCGGTACCCGGAAAAAGCAAATAGAACCCATTACTTTTACTTTACTTTATACTTTATTAGTCCCATTACTGGGAAATTTGTCTAGGACAACGTGCAAAGTCCGTACATACAAACTCATGTCAAACAACATACATTAAAAGCGAATAGAAACAACAGTCGATACATACAATATCACTTACATTAAACCAAAATAAGAATAAGTGAAGTTAATCCATGTAAGGCACCCTGGCAATTCACAGTATTTTATCTCTATTTAACACTTTGATTGCAGTTGGAACAAAGGAATTTTTCAGTCGATTTGACCTGCACATCGGGACCCTGTACCTCCTTCCTGATGGTAATAATTTAAAATAGGCATTCAGGATATGAGTATCGTCTCCAACAATTTTCTTGGCATGATTTAAAATAGAAGCATCAAACATCTCTTGTGGTGATAATCTCTCCTCACCCCCTATAATTCTAAAGGCGGTGTGCACCAAACGTCCTAACCTCGATTTTAATTGGACAGACAAGTTACCATACCATGCAGTGATGCCATATCTAATCAAGCGCTCGAAAATAGACTGGTAAAACAAATACATGATTCTCTGATTCACTCCGAATGCCTTTAACCTGCGTAAAAAGTATAATCTCTGCTGTAACCTGGAACACAGATTGTCGACATGAAAAGACCAGCATAGTGAATTATCTATATAGACTCCCAAGTACTTATATGAAGGAACCTGTGCAATGATATTACCATGTATCATTACTAAACTATGATCCCCTACACTTCTAGGATCGAAAATCATCTCGACCGTCTTAGTTCCGTTAAGTATTAGCAAGTTATCATCACACCAGCTTACAAATCTGTTTACCTCAGAGAAATAATGTGAAGCATTATCTTTACTATTTAATAAGGTTAAAATTGCCGTGTCATCAGAAAATGTAATAAAAGTACTGTCTTGGCTTGCTACGCAATCATTGGTATATAATGTAAATAAAATTGGAGAGCAAACGCATCCCTGCGGGGCGCCCGTGTTCGTAATTTTAACCTCAGAATACGAGTTGTTGACTCACCTGTTGTGTGCGGTTGTTCAGAAAGGAATAGAGCCACTTAATACAGTATGGATTTACCTTGAGCTCTTTTAACTTTGTGGTCAACAACATAGGATTCAGGGTATTAAACGCTGAACTAAAATCAATAAAAAGTAAACGGGCATATGCTTGAATGTCTTCTAAATGACTAATAACCAAATGAGAGATGCAGTTAATGGCATCTTCAGTACTTCGCCTCTCTCTATATGCAAATTGAAACGGGTCGAGTAATGGTTTGACTTGATCCCTTAAACCCATTAAAACAAATCGTTCAAAACACTTCATAACATGAGATGTAAGGGCTACTGGTCTAAAATCACTATTCTCCACTGAGTTCTGTTTCTTAGAAACTGGTATTACAATGGATGTATGTGAGTCCAAAGATTTTTGAAAAATGGGGCAGAATGCCGTGGAAAGCTCCATAGCACAAGTTTTTAACAAAAAGGCTGAGATTCTATCTGGGCCCATAGATTTTTTTGGAGCATACACCTCTAAATAGAGTGCTGACCACCTGTGGGTCAACCACTATCCTCTGTCCCGGTTCACATATTACATTATCCAGAACACCCGTATAATCAGCTGATGACTCAAACCTAAGAAAAAAGTCATTTAAATCATTTGCCCTGTGTTCATCATCATTAGTTATAAAAGTTTTGAGAGATGGTGTCATATTTGTTACAACTTTCATTGCATCCCACAGTTTTTTTTTAATTCCCTGTAGCAAAGTTTTCTTCTATTGTATCTCTATATTTTCTCCTCGCCCTTTTCAGTAATATATTCAGTTCCTTTTGAACTATTTGTAATTTAATTTTATCATGATTTATAAATGCCAACTTCTTCCTATTCAAACATTCCTTGACTTCTTTTGTTATAAAACTTTTGTTATTTGGAAATACCATTACAGTTTTCTTCTCCATTATTGAGTCCACACAAACATTTATATAGTCTGTTATGGACTCTGTGGCAGTTTCAATGTCCATCTCATGAAAAAGATCCCAGTCCCTGGATTCAAAACAGCCTTTTAAGGTCTCTATACTGTCCTCCGACCAAACAGAGATTGTCTTTGTGTGAGGCTTAGTTCTTTTTAAAAGAGTTTTATAAGTTGGGATCAAAAGGACAGTGTTGTGATCACAGTTAGATAGAGGAGGTTTGACCTTAGCAACATATGCGTCTTTAACATTTCCGTAACATTTGTCCAAAATCTTGTTACCTCTAGTGAAGCACTTAATATATTGTTCGTACCCCGGGAGCATAAGCTCCAATTAGGGCCCTATGAAATCCGTTTTATTTTTTCCCAAATTCCGTTTTATTTTTTCCCAAATTCCGTTTTTTCCGTTTAAATTTTTGGGAATTCATTTTTTTTTTACCCTTTACTGTTATTTTAGTCATAAA